GGGGGAGGAGGGGGGGAGGACGGGGGGGAGGACGAGGGAGGAGGACGAGGGGAGGAGGACGAGGGGAGGAGGACGAGGGGGAGGACGAGGGGAGGAGGACGAGGGAGAGAACGAGGGGGAGGAGGACGGAGGGGAGGGCGAGGGGGAGGACGAGGGGGAGGACGAGGGGGAGGACGAGAGGGAGGAGGATGAGGGGAGGAGGAGGAAGAGAAGGAGGAGGACGAGGGAGAGGAGGACGAGCGGGAGGAGGAGGACGAGGAGTAGGAGGACGAGGGGGAGGAGGACGAGGGGGAGGAGGACGGGGAGGAGGATGAGGTGGAGGACGAGGGGGAGGAGGACGAGGGGGGAGGAGGACGAGGGGGAGGAGGACGAGGGGAGGACGAGGAGGAGGACGGGGAGGAGGAGGAGGACGGGGAGGAGGACGAGGGCACGCCGGCGCCCACCTCCCCGCTTGCTCGGCTGCTGGAAGCCCAGCTTGCCTCACGCAGTGTTCGAGGGGAGGGTGTGCCCTGGAGTTCTCAAAACCCACTGTGGGCCCCCCGCTGCTGCCGCCCTGTTGGGCCTCGGTGACGGGTGTCCCCGCGGCCCCCACGGGGCCGACTCCGGGGGGCGCGCCACACATTCGGGCCCGGACCCCGGGAGCGGAGCAGGGACGCCTGGAGGCGCAGGGTCTGGTGCGTCGGGACGCGGGGGTCCCGGGGACTGGGCGCCCCCCGAGGGTCTGAGACCGCCCTCGGGGCAGAGGCAGCGGGAGAGGGAGAGGGTGGGAGCCCCCGGTGCGGCGCCGCAGGCCTGGTCCCCCGAGAAAACGGGACCGCTCGGACGTGCGGCGCCCCTGCGGCCTCCGGGCCAGGGCCCCGTTGCCGCGGGGGGACATCCGCGCGGAGCCCCCCCTCCTCTGCTCGGGTCCACAAGGCCCTGTCGGGGTCGGTCAGAGGCCGAGAGGGGGCGCCACCCCGGGAACGCGAGGCGGTCCGCGCGGAACGCCCGCAGTGCACAACCCTGCCGACGGGCGAGCTGCAGATGGGCTCAGGACGTGGGCTCCGTGGCTTAGCTGGTTAAAGCGCCTGTCTAGTAAACAGGAGACCCTGGGTTCGAATCCCAGCGGAGCCTTGGCCCCTGTGGTGAACTTGCGTCTCCACTCGCCCTGCTGAGGGCTACCCTCTTCCTTAAACTTCATCTTTTGCAGCTTTTTTTTTTTTCCTACCATGGGCTTCCCTCCACACACTCCCCGACCGTCTCCACACACTCCCCGACCTTGGACAAGGAGAATCCCAAGACTCTGGAAACAAAACGGAACAGATTTTGGTAACAGCCACACACACAAGACTATATTAAGAAAGCAAAGAGCAATGCGATGATCTTAGCCCCCGTGTTTTTCTCCATGTGCCTTTTTGTGATGCGAGCCACCATGCAATGTATTCCAACCCTGATTTCATATAGTTACGTACGGATTGCTTGAAGCCGGGGAGGGAATTCAGACGTGGCCGTGAATTTTAGTAGATACTGGCCAGTGCTCTGGAGTCTGTAATTCAACTATAGATTTGTGGGGGCCCTGGCGGTGGCCGTGGAGGTGGTTGTATTGAATCCAAGATGTGCGAAAGCATACTGTGAATGCTGATTGATGCCAGTCAGTGCGGGCCCAGCGCAAAATGGGAATGGAAGGTCCCTTACTCCACAGGAGAGGAGGCCTGCGCTCCGCTGCCAGCCTGGCCTTGAGCTGTCTTCTCCACGTGCTGCATTCCAGACACCAGACTTGTCCCCAACCTTGGCGGGTGTAAAATCAGGGCTCATACCTGCTGTGCCCTAACAGAAACCCGGAAACTCTTCTGCTGCTCAGAGGCTGCGCCTTAATTCTTTTGAAATAAGAATGTGGAGTATAATACGCGTTCGTTCCCAAGGGCGTGTGTAAGCAATGGTTTGTGCCTTTCTCCCCGACATGGATTCTTCCTCTTCACTGTCCCTGTCTTTCACCATATAAATGGGTAAATAAAATATATATTTTTTAAAGGAGAGGGAAAATGCCTCTCCTTTTAAAAGTAGTTATAATTTAAAATGTTTAAAAATTAAAAGTAGTTATAAAATATACAATTTTTCTTTTCTTCCTTCTCTCTCCATCTGTTAATGTATTTTTCATTTGCATTAACATTGTGAATTAACAGCATGAATTTTATTGTTCACCTTTATTTCATACATCACTTACAAAACATAAATTCTAAGGTGTAATTATTGTGGAGTTACAAGATGGCAAGCGGATCTTGGGGTGACCTGAGCCGGCGGTCTAAGAAGATCAACAAAAACACTTGGACTGCCGAAACCCGGGATTGAACCAGGGACCTTTAGATCTTCAGTCTAACGCTCTCCCAACTGAGCTATTTCGGCTACCTGCAAGTGATGTTTCCTAATAATATGTTTTTCAGCTCTCAGATTGTTTTCAACTTCCCTTTTAAGAGATTTCAGATTCTTTAAGTGCAGTGGTCCAATACATGTAGCGACCCAGAAATTTGGGGGATCTATTGTCTTCTGCCTATATTACTTAGATAGATTCCTGGCAGGTGGGAAGGTGGGTGGAGGTCGTAGGGTTTCCTCGAAAAGCCTTTCTCCTCTTCTGCATCCCAGACACATCTCAGAAAATTAAGGAAACCAAAGAAAACATTTCGTGAGGTCCCTTACATAGGAGAAAATCTTTGTGACCCTGGGTCAGACAAATATTTTGTAGATATGGCACCAAAAGCATAAAAATTAGATAAAGTTAACCTCATCAAAACCCTTTAAATCCTGCTCTGTGAAAAACATGTTTAAGAGGACAGAAAGGCAAGTCACAGACTGGGAGAAAACGTTTGCAAACCATGTGTCTGATAAAGGATTTGCCTCTAGAATGTAGAAAGGGCTCTAAATAGTCAACAAAAAGAAAACACGATCTTAAAATAGACAAAATATTTAAGTAGACCCTTCTCCAAAGAAGCAGCAGGATGGCAAATAAATAAAAAATGCTCAACATCGGTCATTAAGGAAATTATGAATTAAAACCATAATGATACACCACTGTGGTTATAACTTGCTAGAATTTAAAAACGCTAAGCACACTGAATGTTTGCAAGAATGTGGAGGAAAGGAAACTCTCATATCCTGTTAGTGGCAAAGGAAAACAGCGCTACTTTGAGACACTTATTCGGTTTCTTAAAAAGTTGAAGATATATGTGGGGATGAGCACTGGATGTTATATGGAAACCAAATTGGCAATAAACTATTTGTAAAGAAAAAAAAATTGAAGATATACCTTCCTTATGATGCAGCCACTCCAATCTTAAGCATGTATCCAAAAGAGGAAAAAAAAACCTATCGTGTCCATACAAATTCTGGTACACAATTATTCAAATCAGCTTTATTTGTTATAGACAACAGCTGGAAAGAACCCAAATGCCTTTCAGTGGGTGAACTGAGAAACAAATTTGATCTATCCATACCATGGAATATTCCTCGTCATAAAATGGAATAAACTATTGATGTGTACAACACCGGTGAATAAATATGATGAGTGAGCAAAGCCCAAAAAAGTAAATATGATATGATTCCATTTGTATAAAACTTTAGGAAATGCAAACTAATCTATAGTGACAGGAATTAGATGACCAGTTGCTCGGGGTTGGAGAGGCAGGGAGGAAGATGACAGAAAGCGAACCCATAAACAGTTTCTTCCTCTCTCCCTCCCCTTCCCTCCCTCCTTCTCTCCCCCTCCCTCCTTCCCCCTCTGTCTCTTTCCTTCTCTGTTCTAGACTTGCCAGACAGCCATGGGGTTAAGACCATTTCTCCAGATACGGAATGGATGGAAGCACCAGGATTGGAGATCAACGATAATGACTTTCATTTTGCACATAGGATGTCAAAGTGCTTCCTCGGTTTTCCAGAGCAAAAGATCCCGGTCTTGAAAATGGCAGGTGGGAAAGACAAGGTTCCACTAGAGGATGAAGGAAGGGAATAAGTACAGACCAGAGACCCTTGAAGAAGTGGGTGGGTGTGGACAAGATGGTCAGGGAAGATTAGGTACAGTGATCTACGGAGGAGGAAAAAACCATGGAGAAAAAGAGAATGAAGGCAAGTGGAACTTCCAATTGGAGACTTTCCGTGTGAGTGGTTCTCAAAAACAAAACAAAATACAGGCAGGAGCACAGGAAAAAGATCTTCGAGAAGACTGACCCTGACCGGGAAGAACCTAGGAGCAGGAATAGAATTTGGATTTAGAATTTCTATTCTTGAGTAGAGCCAAAAAAATCAATTTAGAAATAGAACTAGTGGAGTTAACAAAATATATTTTTGGCGTGCGGGTGTCACATGCGCGCGTGCGCGCGCACGCGCACGCACGCACACACACACACACACACACACAAATAGCCTTGCCCAAGAATACAGATAATAGTCATATTTCCTAATATATCACAAAACAAAGAGCTTCTGCCTGGGGGTGTAGCTCAGTGGTAGAGCACATGCTTTGCATGTATGAGGTCCTGGGTTCGATACCCAGCACCTCCAAGGTACCTTCCTTTTTCCAATCTCCAATCTCCTTCAGGACAGGGTCGCCAGCCAAATCTGGTTTTCTGCCTTTTGTCACTTTTTTTGCCTGTTCACACGGAGAGTAAACATGATTGGCACAACATCAGAAGAAAGGGGAAAGTTGTTACTCAACAACCCGGAGTGCAGCCAACGTAGCCAGCCTTGTCACCCAGACTACCAGTTTACAATAGGAAGTAAGAAAGAGGAAGAGGAGGGAGAGAGAAGGGAAGCATGGAGGAGAGAAGGGGAGGGAGCGAGGGGGTGAGGGAGGGAGGAACAGCAAGAGGGATGGGGAGAGAGAGAGAGAGAGAGAGAGAGAGAGAGAAACCCAATTTCTTTAGCCTGAACAGCTAATCCTAAAGACTCAGCATGGGAAAAATTAGGGCGATGTGAGCAGCATCCCAACTGTCTTTGGCCTGCAAGCTGAAGCCTTAGACAAACCACTATTCATGAACCTTCATCGCACACCAGCAATAGAACATACGAATTCCAAAAAGGACTTTTGTTTCTTCAGTAAGAGCCTGAAAAAAAAAATGAGAGTAAGGAAAATCCCTTCTCGATCTGCATTAACTTTGGAGAACAAAGGAATGTTCACCCTCTGCAGTAGAGAACACCCGGCTTTCTGGTGACCCAGGTAAAGGAGAGCTCCTGTCTTCTAAGAGGTCACCCATGTCCTTGTTTCCTTCCCATCCCACTGTGTCTGAAGAAGTTGAAGGAGCACGAGGTGTGTGCTGTGGAGGCAGGAGACCCTCCCTGTCAGTAAACAGTGTTTCTGTTCGAAGAGTGTCCTTGGGGACGGGCGGAATTGATGCCCTCAGTGACCTGCACGTTCTGTGATCGCTTCTCTTGAAGTGGCCACGCTAGGAAGCCGCCCTTCAAGGAGTCTTCAAAGGATCACTGTGCTCTGAGGGAGCCCGAGCCAGAACCGCGAAGAGAAAAGGAAACAAAACTGCGCCAGGAGCTGCCTCCTCGCCCCCGTCAGGTCAGCCCTGGCAGCAGCTCAGGGAAGAGCAGAGCGCACCGCGGCTGGCTGGGGGCGCAAGGGAGGCCCAGCCAGAATTTCTGACGCAGGGAGTTGTGAGCAAACGTAAGAGATGGTTGTTTAAAGTCACTCAACGTCGAGAAGTTTGATACACAGCACTGTATAACTAAAATCGTCCCAGATTGACAAAAATAGACAAAACCAGCTGAGCAGGACACAAGTGGTTCCTCCGACAGAAATACGAGAAATACGACGCGGGCCACAGGTGCAGCTTACATTTTATAGGTGACCCCGGAGGCCCGCACGGCTGGGGGTGTAGCTCAGTGGGAGAGCGCGTGCTTCGCATGTACGAGGCCCCGGGTTCGACCCCCGGCTCCTCCACCTATGCTTTTTCGTGCGCTTGGCCACGCTTCCGGCTCCCATTAAAAACAGACACAGTCAGTGTCTTCCCTTCAATACCATCCCATCCCCACTCCGTGGGACTTGGTGCCGCCCCAGACACGAGCGTTCCCAGAGGAGAAACAAGCTGCCTCGACGCCGACCAAAGCCCCAAGTTGCAGCCACATCCACAGAGCCGTTTGCCGGGGGTCTCACTGGCAGAGGCCCTGCAGAGCAGGGCAGAAAAGAACAGAAAAGAGAAAAAATAGATCTGTGAAGTTTCCGAGATTTGACGAGCACTGTGCGGTCCAAGGTGCGAGGGCCGGTCTCTCCTGCTGCCCCAGCTCGACCGCACAGTGCCCCCCAGCGCGCCCCCATCTCGCCCCGAGCGCTCCCCCTGCGCGCCCCGACCGCACCCCCAGCTCGACCCCAGCGCGCCTCCAGCTCGACCCCACAGTGCCCCCCAACGCGCCCCCAGCTCGCCCCCACCGCACCCCCAGCTCGACCCCAGCTCGCACCACCGCACCCCCAGCGCGCTCCCCGGCTCGCTGCCCGGCTCGCGCCAGCGCGCCCCCGCTTCCCGAGGCGCCAGGACCTCGGCGGAGCGGACTCCCCAGGGGTTGGCAGGGGGCGCGCGGCCGCAGACGTCAGGGGCGCCCCCCCCAGACCCGCTGGGGTCTAAAGCATAATTTGGGAGCCGGAGGGAGACTATAAAGGACGGACCCTGGGGTCGGCGGCGCGGTTGTTTCCTTCCGTATGAACCTGACTCTCACACGTTTACACAGAACAGACACTCGAAGCCCCCCCAACCCCCACCCCCTCAACCTGAACGCCTCCGGGAGCTGAATCTCGGGGACCCTGCAAACAACGATTTAAAACCCTAACCTCCGACGTTTCCTCGCCGAACATTTTTGTTCTTAAATCTTTAGATGAAGGACACGTCGTGGCGCAGGACGCCCGGCGTCCCGGGGAGACGTGGCCAAAGGGGTTCGGGCGGGAATGGGACGGATGTACACAGTTCTTGGGTTTAAACAAAGGCGCTTGTCGGGGTCCGCGCGAACGGCGGGGGTGGAGGTGCCGCCTGTTTCCTGCGCGAGGCACGCGTGGGGGGGGGCTGCGCGCCCCTTCCGTCTCAGGAAGGCCGTTTGAGGTTTGTAACCCGGGCGTCGGGAAACCCCACGGATGCCGCCTAAACTCCCTCCTCGGAGAACACGGAAGGCGCCTCCTCGCCGCCCCCAGATCACGCGAGGGCGCAGCGCGGCTCCTTCCGGGCCCCGGGCCTCCGCGCGGGTCGGCCACGCCCCTGTGGACGTCGCTTCCGAGCCGGCGAGCGAGTGGGCGCCCTTCTCTTCGATTCGCTTTGACTCCGGCTCGGCGCCCAGCAGGGGAGGCAGCTGAGCCCGCCTCCGTCCGTGCTGCCAGGTGAGGGTTCTCCGGACACGGTTTGCCCTGCCCTTCCCGGCCGTGGCCTCGCTGGGTTTGGGGTGCAGCCCTGGAACCGCCTCCGGGAAACTCTCAGGCAGCTGCTGAATAAAACCCGTCCCAGGTAGCGAGTCCCCCGGGGGGGGGGGGGCGAGTGGGGCCGGGATGACCGAAGGGCAGGTGTCGCCTGAGCCCGCGGTCTGTCCGCCCAAGCGGGGGGGGGGGGGGGCGATCCAAGGGAATTCCTCCAAGGGCCTCCTTGCTCACCTTCTCCCTCTTCCCACTTCTTAGTAATAATAACTAATAATTGTTAGTAATAATAACTAATACTTATTATAATAATTATTAGTAATAATGAAGAAGGCCCTGTGCTCGGCCTTCTGTACTGTCACGTAGGGAGATCAAGGGCCAGCTGGCCATTATGTAAACGGTTAAACGCTGAACGGCACGCTTGTTAAAGGACGCACCCTGCGTAGACGGAGAAGCGCGGAGTCGAGCCTCCGGGCGCGGCCACGTGGAGGTGCCGGGGATCGAACCCGGGGCCTCGTGCATGCTAAGCACGCGCTCTACCACTGAGCTACACCCCCTCGCCCCGCGGCGACTTGGGGCCGCCTCGGCAGCGTCGGTCCCTCCGGCTGCGCAGTCTCTGGGCGGGATCCTCCCGGGGGAGAAACGCATTCTGACCCGAAGACCCCTCCCCGCCCCCCGAGGGCTGCCCGCGGCCGGACCCCGCCCCCCGCGAGCCCCGCGCCTTCTCCGCACGGTCCTTCTCTGCCCACGAGGTCGCCGAGCAGCCGCGAGGTGGCGGGGGACGCAGGACGCGCCCCGAGGCCGCCCGGAGACCGTCGGTCCCGGCGTGCAGCTGGGACGAGAGGGGGTTCGTTCACAGCACGCGACCCACACCCAGCGACGCGCGTGTGTGCGCGTGTGTGCGCGTGTGTGTGCGTGTGCGTGCGGCACGGCTTCGGAGACGCGGCAGCGGCTTTGCTGGGGCGCCGCCGGGGCTCTGGTTTCGGGGACGGACCACGAGAGGACACGCCCGGCCCCACAGCGTCCGCAGTCTGTCTGTCTGTGCACCGGGGGGGGGGGGGGGGGGGGGGGGGGGGGGGCGCTGGGAAGCTGGGAGCAAACGGCGACACAAACGCGCCCCCGTGACCCCTCCCGAGGCCCGCGTGCGTCCCCGACTGTCCTCAGTCCCAGAGGCGCGGGGTCGCCGCTTCTCCCTTTACGCAAAATTCGGTGCAACTGTTACGCAGATGCGAATTTGGGGGGAAATCCTAACCCTTGTGGCCGCAGAGCTCCCGTTGTTACCGCCCTGGAGAAGCCCGGGGCTGCGACTCGCACAGGGCGAGGAGGTGACCCGGGGGGGGGGGGTTTGGGGACGAGTCTGGGGGCCGGGAGGGCAAGTAGAAACCGACCCAGGCCGACAGCTCCGTCCGGCTGGAGTCAAATGAAAGAGGAACGTCTCTTACTCAGCAAGAAAGCAGCGACCACGAAGGGACTCGAACCCTCAATCTTCTGATCCGGAATCAGACGCCTTGTCCATTAGGCCACGCGGCCGGCCCTGGCGGCGGCTTCCAGCCCCACAAGCCGAAGTGCAGAAGGTTTCTGTTTTCTAAGCTAATTTTGCAGCTGGAGGAGGATCCGGTTACCAACATTCAACAAACAACCCTCCCCGCCAGGCAAAAGGAACAAAACCCCATCTGGGATCCCTAGTGACCGTCACTCAGATCAGGTGCGCGGAGGGGATTCCTCCAAGGTCTCCGTCTCAGTCGCTGGCAAAGACCACTGGGGGGGGGGGTTGCGGGGGAGACATAGCCGCCGCGGGGGCTCTGACCCCAGGCGGAGGGCGGGCCTGACCTTCGGGCGTCCCTCAGAGAAAGGGACGGACGGTTGTAGCGAGGGCGCCGCGTCCGAGGGGCCGGCTTGCAGGCGGTGGAGACACTTCACCAGAACTCATTCGTGCCGGCACCTTTAACAGCCGGACTCCGCACCCGACGAGGGGAGGGCCCGCCCCACTGGGGCGGGGTGCTGGGTCCCCCACCTCCGCCGGAGGCTGGCTGGGTGCGAGGTGCCGACTCCCGAGTCCTCCAAGGTGGGAAGGGGCGAGGGCGCAAACCGCGTGCACGAGACCCTAACAGCCCGAGGGCTGCGCGCTGCGCACCCCCCGGCGCGTTGACCCCGGCCCCGCCCGGGGCCACTCGGTGTGAAATGGGCGCCGCTCCGCTGTCGGGGGAGGAAGGACGAGACCCCCCCCCCCCCACGACCTCCTGAAGTGAAGCAACCGCAGAGCCTCCCCGGTCCGCACCCCCTCGGTTTCTGGACGTGTGAAGGCAGAGCACTCTGCTCTTTTGCTGTGTCCGGCACCCTCCTCCCCAGACCGCAGGCCTTCGCCTCCGCACCCGTCGGTCCGTCGCCGGGTCCCCTGGGCAGGTGGGCTGGGTCACGCTGAAGAAGCATCAAGCTCGGGACGGGCTGTTCTGACTTCCACGGCTTTACCAGGACAAGTCACCATTTCCGAGACCAGCGGATGCTAAGTACCAGGGCCTGGCCCAGGCGGGTCTGGTTGGAACAAGGGGATGGTTCCAGATGTTTCCTATGGAACTGACTCAGTTGGAGACCTCTCCGGAGATGGTTCCGTGAGGAGCCTGGATGAGGACCCCCTGAATCCCTTTTTGGGAGGCTGAGGCCACCAGGAGACCTGGGAAGGAGCCCCGCACAGAACCCCGCGGGCGCGAGCTTGCTCACAGGCGGGGATGCGCTCAGCTAGGCTTCCTCTAATCCTCCCTTGTGGGTTTCGTGCTCAAGGAATAGCAGACCGAGACCCCAAAACGCCACAGATTTTTAAAAACTGGTTGTTTTTGTTGTTCAGTTTGCGGGAGGAATGGGTTCAGAGGAGGGTTGGCGGACTGAGCAAAGACACTTCTTTCTTGCAGAGAAGACGTGGCCGTCAGGACGGGGAGACTGTCACAGAGGTTTTACAAATGATACTGAATAGCTCATAAGTAGCTTTTGAAAAGCATATAAACTTTTCTTTATAGGGATGATACCATTTCTCTCCAAAGCCATTCCGGGCTTCTTTCTCTGAGATTTTTATCCGATGTGCTGCAGGCATTTCTTTAAAATTTTTAAATATTTCCAATGAAAGTAATTTGTGCAGAATCCAAGGAGGACTGGGAAGCGTGGAATTCCTGTTCTCGACGCATCCATCTGTCTGGAAGGCGTCCGTCGTCAGGAGAGGCTTCTGTGGTTTTGAAAAAGGGTTCTTCCTTCCTTCCTTTTCATTTTTATTTTTTACTAAATCAGACCACCTGCCAAACCCCGGATCAAATATCAGTTTACACCTTTAGAGCAAGAATCTCCCAATTTGGCCATGTCAGCCACTGCATTTAGGGCCTAATAATTTTCTTAGCTTTTGAGTTTGGAATGTCCTGTGAGTTGTGATTTGAACCGAACGTCTGCTCACTTACGCAGGAGGAATTGTCTGCAGCCCTGAAGATCTGGGCACTGACCCGACTTGTCTGTGCATGGGGGGGGGGGGGCAGTGAAGGACAGGATAAAGAAAATCGGGTTTTTCTACCCCACCCGCCGCCTGCTTGCTCACAGCTGGGGAAACGGTGTGGAAGTCACCTGTGGTCATCTTTTCTGATGTTGCTTCTTTTTGTTCTTTTTCTTCCTTGCTCTTCAGTCATGCTGAGATTGGAACCAAATATGAAAGTGCTGGTTTAGGTGGAGCCGCCTGTTGTTGCCTCCCGCCCAGGGTCCTCTCCTCGGTCCCCCGTGCTCGGTCCCCGTGCTCGGTCCCCCGGCTCGGTCCCCGGCTCGCTGGCTCTGTCACAGGTCAGCCGCGCCCGGGCCTGGATACACCCTGACTTCCAGCGAGCGCGGCGGACGGTGAGAGAAGACTGAGGGGGAAGAGATGGTGAATTCGGGGGGGGGGCGGGGGGAGACAAATAAGAGGAGGAAGGGGGGTTGAGGAGGAGGAGAAGAGGAGTAGAGGGGAAGAGGAGGGAGGAGGGGAGGGGGGAGGAGGGCCAGGAGCGGGAGGGAGTAGAGACAGGGAGAAGGAGAATCACAGGGAGGACAACGCGGCTCAGACCGAGTTTGGTCTGGAAGGAGCGCAGGTGCGAAGACCCCTCGCAGGACCCCTGTCCGTGCCCCCCCCCCCTCAGGTGCACGCGTCCTGACGATTACGTGTTTGGGGAGGGAACTCGCTGGGTCAGCGCCACCACTTCTGAAACCTCTGGGCCGAGACCACCAGGGAGGAGGCGCCGCCCTCCAGGCCGCCCCCCGCCCCCGACCGTCCTGCGGCTGTCCCGGCTCGGCTCGCTTGGCCCGGCGGTTCCCTCCACCAGCAGAGGGAGGGGTCCCTCGTGGAAGCTTCTCGTGCATTTTCAGGCTCTGCCTCCGTCACGGTCGTCCCCTCCGACGTGTCAGGTGCAAGCGGAGGCCGTGCGGGCCGTGTGCGCGTTAACGGGAACCGCGCAGAGCAGGTGCGTGTCCAGCAGCGCGGTCTGAAGCCTGCCGGCTTCCTGGAGGAGACTTCCACCTCTGGTTCTGAGCAACTGGGGTGGGGACAGAGAACAGGGAAAGAGGAAAAGGTCCCGGAGATCGTAATGTCTCTCTCAAAGGGCACTTCTCAGTGATGTTAAATAAAGATGTTCTTTAAGAGCCAGGACACAAAATAGTTGAGAATTGCCCCAATGTGCCAACGAATATTAGATGTGCCGACCAATATTAGATACTCACAGAGGGCAAGTAGCGCATGAGCCTGGATAGCTCAGCTGGCAGAGCATCAGACTTTTAATCTGAGGGTCCAGGGTTCAAGTCCCTGTTCAGGCGCAACCCTTCCTGTTTTGCCCTAGATAATTTCCACCTAGCACCCGAAGGGTTTGGGATAGAAGGGGTCTACTTGCACAGGGACTGGCACTTTGTCTGCTCATTGATTTATAGGCACCATCTCTATAGAGATTGCTGGCCTGGAGATTCACATTTGCATTTGGTTTTTATAGAAGAGTCATCAGTTGACCTGAAAAAAAGCAATCAAAATTTCTGAACTCTAAAAGGAAGAAAAAAAATTGAAACAGAAAAGTAATTTGAACGACAGTGGCTATCTCATCAGAAAGCACAGAGGCCAGAAAAAGGGGCACATTTTTAATTTATTTTTTTAATGTTTATTTATTTTTTGAGAGAGAGACATGGAGTGTGAGCAGGGGAGGAGTAGAGAGAGAGGGAGACACAGAATCCAAAGCAGGTTCCAGGCTCTGAGCTGTCAGCACAGAGCCTGACTGGGGACTAGAACTCAAACTGTGAGATCATGACCAGAGCCAAAGTCGGTGCCTAACCAACTGAACCACCCAGGTGCACCCCCCCCTTTTTTTTAATTTTAGAGACAGAGTGTGCAACAGAGTGTGCAAGCAGAGGGGGGGGCAGAGAGAGAGGGAGAGAACATCCACCAGGTTCCCCACTCAGCGAAGATCCTGAGGTGGGGATTGATCCCACAACCCTGGGATCATGCTGAAAATGAGTCAACACTCAACCCACTAGCCACAGGCATTCCATGATGGCACATTTTCAAATGCTGAAAGAAAAGAACTGTCAATCCAGAATACTATATCCAGGGAAAGTACCCTTCAGGAATGAAGGGATGGAGACGTTCCAGATCAAGGAAAACTAAGATAATTGCTCTCAGCAGAACTACCCAAAACAGTGGCTCCAGTAAGTTCTCCAAACAGACAACGATACACGAAGGAACGTTGGACGTCAGGAAGGAAGAAGATACATTGTAAGCAAGAAACATGGTAAATGCAATAAATTCTCATCATCTTGAGCTTTCTAAGTTAATGTTTAACAGTTTGAAGGAAAATGTATAACATCTGAGTGGTTCTAATGTATGTACAAGAAATTGCTGAGACAATTACATTATAAATGAGGAAGGGTAGAGTGGTAAGCGGGGGGGTAAGAAATTACAGATCAGGCAAAATGGTGACACGAGAACACTGTGGGACAGTAACTCCATATGATGTAATTCCTGGGGCAGCTGCTAAGAATCTATGCAAAGGGAGACAGTTCAAAATGCTATACATAAATGAAGATGGAATACTAAAAGATGTACAAGTAGTCCATAAAAAGGCAAAAAAAAAAGGAACAAAAAGTGAAAAATGCAGAACCAAACAGAAAGCAAAAAAATAAAATGCCAGGCTTAAGCCCTAATGTAGCAATAATTATATTAAGTATAGATAGCCTAGGTACACCAATCAAAAGACAGATATTCAGAGGGTGGAGTAGAAAACATGACCCAACTCTATGCTGTCTACAGAAAGCCCACTTTAAATATAACTACATAGGCTGAAATTATGAGGGTAAAAAAAAGAGATCATGCAAACATTAATTGAGGGACAGCTGGAGTAACTAAATTATCAATAAAGTAAACCTCAGGACAAAGACTATTAACAGAGACCAAAAAAGACACGATATAAGGGTAACAATCATACATCTCCCAAGATGGCAGAGTCGTGTCTGATACGCACGAACCAAACCACAGAGTTGCAAACATGTGGGGAAAAACTAACCACTGGGAAACCTGAAAAGAAAAATGGACAAATCCACAACTATAGTTGAAAACTTCAGAACCTCCCTCAGAGTAATTGATACAACAACCAAACAGGAAATGATCAAACGTAAAGAAGAACTCACAGTTGAGTCGGAGCCCTGCATCAGGCTCTGTACTGGCAGCTGGGAACCTGGAACCTGCTTCACACTCTCACCTTCTGTCTCCATCTCTGTCTGCCCCTCCCCTGCTTGCACTTTCTCAATCTCCCTCTCTCTCTCTCTCAAAAATAAACAAACATTAAAAATTATACACTATGGCCAAGTGGGGGTATATTTCTTGGGTACAAGTATGGATAAATATTTTCATTTTTATTTGTTTAAGATGGTATTTTTAAGTAATCGCAACACCCAGTGTGGGGCTTGAACCTACAACCTTGAGGTCAAGAGTCACATGCCCCACCAACTGAGCCAGCCAAGCACCCCTGGAAAAATATTTTTAAAATCAATCTGTGGGTGGCTCAGTCGCTTGAGTGTCCGACTCTTGGTTTCAGCTCAGGGTTCCTGGGGTTGAGGGTCACTCTCTGGGCTGACAGCACAGAGCCTGCTCGGGATTCTCTCTCTCCCTCCCTTTCTCTGTGCCCCTCCCCCACTCATACTCTCCCCAAATAAATAAATAAACATTTTTTTAAAAAATAAATAAATCTTGGGGCGCCTGGGTGGCTTAGTCGGTTAAGCGCCCGACTTTCGCTTAGGTCATGATCTCGCGGTTCGTGGGTTCGGGCCCCGCGTCGGGCTCTGTGCTGACTGCCAGCTCGGAGCCTGGAGCCTGTTTCAGTCTGTGGCTCCCTCTCTCTCTGACCCTCCCCTGCTCACGCTGTCTCTCCCTCTCTCTCTCCTAGAAATAAATTAAAAAAAAAACATTAAAAAATAAATAAATCTATGTAATCTTTCATATGAACGGACTAAAGGAACACAATTACATGATTATATCAACTGAAGTAGAAAAGACACTGGACAAAACTCTACAGCCCTTCATGATTTTTAAAACTCTGAAAAAAATAGTAATAGAAACTTCCTCAATTTGGTTAATGACATATACAAACAAGCAAACAAATAAACCAGAGAGATACAACTAACATTATATTTAATGGTGAAAGGCAAATGCTTGCACCCCAGAGAGGAATCAACACTGAGTTGTCTGTGCTCAGTGTTATTCAACATAGTGCTGGGAGCTCCAGCCGTGTAAGAAGGCATGAAAAGGAAATTAAAAGGAATACATATAGGAAAGGAAAAAAATTAAAGCCAACATCAGGGAAAATGACATAATCATCCATACAGAAAACCCAAGGAAGCTATGAAGGAAAAAATCCTCTTAAAACTAAAAAATTTAATTCAACAATGTCACAGCGTAATATAAATAGCATATGGAAATAAGCTGTATGTCTACATCTGACAATAACCATACGGACATAAAACTAAAAAGGCCTCTAGAGTAAATCCTGTGAATTCTCAACACAAGGAGAAAATTTTTCCTTTCTTTTCTTTTTAATGTATCAATATGAAAAGATGGATGTAATCACTTCACAATATATGCTGTGTGCCTTAAAACCTACACACTGATACATGTCATTTATTTCTCAATAAAACTGGAAAAATACACCACATATAATCTCCGACCAAAATGTAAACCTGACAAACACGTACAGGACCTGGATGCTGACAGCACATGACGATGACGGATGGAGTCCAAACAGCTTAAACCTGGAGAGACGCACTGTGTTCATGGCCTGCGACAGGCAGCACAGTAAGGGTGTCGGGTCTCCCCGGACTGATACACAGATTTAGTTAAATTCCTATAAAAATACAGCAAGACTTTTTGTAGCTACAGACAAGATTATTTTAAAAATTTATGCGCCTGGGTGGCTCTGTCGGTTAAGCGTCTGACTTCAGCTCTGGTCATGGTCACATGGTTCGTGGGATTGAGCCCCACGTCAGGCTCTGTGCTGATGGCTCAGAGCCTGGAGCCTGCTTCAGATTCTGTGTCTCCCTCTCTTTCTGACCCTCCCCTGCTCACACTGTCTCTCTCTCTCTCTCAGAAATAAATAAAACATTAAAAAACTTTTTTAAAAAGCTTATTTTAAAAATTTATATGGAAATTCAAAGGAATTTGAACGGCTAAAACAATCTTTAAAAATTTTTTTAAAAAGGATGCCTGGGTGGCTCAGTCAGTTAAGCATCTGACTTCGGTTCAGGCCATGATCTCACATGTCATGGGTACAAGCCCTGTGTGGGGCTCTGTGCTGACAGCTCAGAGCCTGGAGCTGCTTCAGATTCTGTGTCTCCCTCTTTCTATGCTCCTCCCCTGCTTGTGCTCCATCTCCCTCTCAATAGATAATAAATAAATAAATAAATAAATAAATAAATAAATAAAAACATTAAAAGAATATAGGAGAAAGAATCAGTCAACCTGATTTCAAAACTGTTGTATAACTACAGTAATTAACACTGTGTGTTGGTGAGTACTGGGGAGATAGGCAAAGGTTAATAGAGCAAAATAGGTAAATAAGTCCTTACAGGTGTTTTTGAAAAAGTTGCAGAAGTCATTCAATGGAGGAAAAATATACTTTTCAACAAT